CTTTTCTTACCTTTATTTTTCTCTTTATCACTATAACTACATCTGTCTCCCTGAATGTTTCTTGTGCTTTCCTTATCAGGTCATCTGCACAATCAGCTCAAGCTCATTTTTCCTGTGGAAGCTTCTGGGCAGGAATTGTTGGGTGGAACAGGCCTTTGTGGACCTGGCTTTTCTCTGGGAAAACTTTAAAGACAACACTGACTTCTCACAGAGCTATTCTGAGTCTGAGTTGTATAATTTGCATGAACTATTAAAAATTTATATAGTATTGTTACTGCTAAACTGATCTTTAATAATGGCGAAGGTATTTTTCCTCCATTGAGTGTAATGAAGGTAAATAATTAAACTGGTTTTGGGGTCTCAAGGTCTCCAATTCTCTGAAATAATTTTAAATTCTTTATTTCAGTATGCACATTCAGGAATATGTATTTAATCGTAGATATCTTTTTCTATTAATTTTTTGCACCTGCTGATTTATTAAATAGATAAGCCCTTTTGGTGGATGAATTTGCAGGAATGTAAGGATCTGCACACGAATAATCATTTGAAAATACTGCCATAGTTTTATTACTGTATTTGGATCTGGAACAGCATAATGTACACATTTAAGAGCTAAGGCCTATGCAATTTCTTTTAAAATGTGGATCCAGACCTTCAGGAGTTAATTGAAAAACTTCAGCATTAAATCACATGAATGCCCAAAGTTATGAGAGTTTCTTAACAATGAAGATAATAGGAACTGACTGGTTGAACTTTACAGAAGTCCATGAGATAATTAAATAGATAGAAGGGTGCACAAATTTTAACATAATTGAAATAATAGGCTCTATTGTCAACAGACCCTACTTAAAGGAAATAGAATTAAATGGTTCCTGTTACTCAATCATTTACTACCAGGGAAACCACAGGGAACCAACTTTCCCCCTGCCAAGCTGTTATACTAGACTCAAGAGATGCTATCGCCAGCACACATGATTAGGAAATGTTTTACCTTTATTTTTTTTTGTAATTACTATATATATACGGCACCCTCCCCTCCCCAAAACTGGCAATACTAAAACCAGAACATAGATTATTGTCACAAATCTTGGGGTGCACTGCTTCAAATCAGCTTCTGTGGTGAGAAGGCTATGACTGTTTCTTCTTCATAATGATTGGTTATAATACTAGAACTTTCTTTTTTAAATTTTTTATTTATATATATTTTTCACGTCATTTGATTTCTCTGCGCAGGTGTAACCCTGTAAAATTACCACCACCAAGACACTCGTGAAATGTCACCATAGTCTCTTGTGTTCACTCTTCCCTTCCCTGTTTGCATCCCTCTCCCTTTCCCACCCTGCTGAATGTCTCTGATTTATAGTTTGCCTGCTAGTTTTGTCTTTTTTCCCTCGTTCCTTTTATGGTCTCCCTATGTTCCTCCTAGAAGTGAAATCATCCAATATAGTTCTTTTCCTTCTAACTTATTTCACTGAGCATACCTTCCAGTTCCATCCATGTTGCTGCAGATGTCATGAGTTTATCTTTTTTGATTGCTGAGTAGTATTCCACAGTATATAGATAACACATCTTTTTGATCCGATCATCTGTTTCTGGGCGTTTAGTTGTTTCCATAGCTTAATTATTATAAATAGTGCTGAAATAAACATAGGGGTGCAAACTTCCTTTTGAATTATTGTTTTTGTGTCCTTTAGGTAGATTCCTAGGAGTGGAATCGCTGGATCACATGGTAGCTCTACTTCTAGTAGTTAGGGAATATTTAAAGGATGCACATGGCTTCTGTGTTTCATAATTCATAGGCATGGTGTGGTGGTATCCAACAGAGTTCTGTGGTTGGCAAGGTTGTGAAGCAAAAGTCCCATTATTTGAGTATTATCTGGCCTGAAGAATATTGAACTAATAGAAATGATAGGCTAGAATGGAGGGGTGCATACTTCCCAGGTTTTTACATTTACATTGACTACCCAATAATTTCTACTCAGATGTTCCATTTTTGTTGAGGAATCTGAGATTAAATTTTTAGGTAACTGACGTGCAGTTTTTTTTTTTAAAGATTTATTTATTTCTGCATACAGAACTGGGGTACAGGCCAGAGATGCAGGGGCGGTGAGAGGATTCACCAGAGACAGAGTGGGGAGCAGAACAGGCAGATCAACGAAGTACACTGCTGAGGGGAGCAGCAGGCGGGCTGGGAGAGGTCTGCCGCACCATGTGGATCTCCTCCAGGGCAGGTGGGGATCGAACTCACGCTGAGGTGGCTTTAGCTTCTTAGTGCTGTGCTTTAACCCGCTGCGCCACCAGGGAGGGCCCTGACGTGCAGTTTTGAGCCTGAAAATGCTGATGCCCGTGAGGTCACACATATGCCAAATGAACCCATTTTGTTTCTCTTGCCTGATGTTTGTCTGGTCACAGATCTGTGAGCCACTCTTAAGTACTGATTGATAACAGAGTACCTCTTGCACTGCCCAAGGCCTTCCTGACTGGAGAATGTTACCCTGACTTAAGAACGTTAAAATGTGGGATTCAGCCAACTTTTTTCTTTGGCAGAGCCTTCAATACTTTACCTGGCTGTATTTGTTCTTGGAGATAGTAGTTACTGGAGCTGGCGAGGTTGCAAGGTGGCTAGATCCTTGGATGGGAAGCACCCCTTGGAGCTACTCAAATTTGAGCTGGTGTCCTCATGAACTTGCCTTCCAGAGTCTCTTTTCCTGCTCCTGGAACACCAATTACCCAAGAGGGGTTTTACTTAATAGAAAACATCTCAGGGTATGACTTTGCAATGGTATTTACAAAATGCTGCATAGATATAGAGAGCTGTCAAATAATAGTTTTCTGGTAATACTTTCTTAAAGACTTGCTATAAATTTATTAATGAGGAAGTCAGAAAATGCCCCTATACTGCTAATACTACTACTAACTTTTAACTTGGTGAATTGCTAATATTACTATATAATTTAGGTAGTAAAGCTTTTTTTAAAAAAAATGATAAAATCCAGGAAATAGAAGTCGCATGAAGTTTCATTTGAGGTCCAGAATATATGGTGATCCACATTCAAATATACGGGGAATAAAATAGTTCCCTTTAGAAAATATCCTGTTTTGTTAAAATAAGTAACAATGACCTTTATGTTGAGAGAGCACTAACTTTTAGCTTCCAATGCAAGTGAATGAAACTTAAATTCTTAGGACTGGCAATATTTTCTAGGGGAATAAAGAATTTTTTTAAGGAAATATGAAAAAAATACAGCTTGCCTTAGAAAGGTCAGGTAAATATGAGAATATTTCCTGTGTCCTTCTAATAATCACCTGACTTAAGATAGACTTTTTGTGACAGAAAGTGCTAGATAACCATTTTGATGGAATTTACAATTACCTGTGGCTGTTTTTAGAATCATGTGAAGAGTCTGAAATTTAATTGCAATATATTGACCTGAATTCTCAAATTGCTGATATGTGTGATAACATTTGTCCTTATAAATTCAAGCTGTCTATGCAACTAGAACTTGACATTATATGAAAATCAGTATTTATATAGTAGTCAATCTATTATGCATATATTATATGTAAGTCAGTAACTCTATATGTCATTTATATGCTAAGTAGAGATGCCTTTTGGTTCTGAAGTATTAGCAAAATTATAAAGCCAAATTTGACACTGAGTTGCTAGGGGAGTGTCATTCAGTGTGTGGGTGAACAGCTTTAGGCACTTTAAGTAGCCCCTTATCTACTGTGTGATATGGTATAATGAGCAGTGATCAAAATAAGTTATCAATAACAAGTCAAAGTATGTTTAGCATAGTCTATGTAAGAAAACAAATAGTAAGTTCTAGTTATACAATGTGGACCTAATGCTCAAGTTTATCTCTAGTCCTTCCAGCTAGGGAATAAGTAGCCCACTAGGAAAAGACACGGGAAGAAAAGACAGCCAATGAGAGGTGTCCATAAAATGGGTGGGTGAGCCAGGGGGTTGCGGGGGACTGCCAAAGGCAGCCACTTCATGTCATGTCACCCAGCCAGACCCTGGACTTGAAGGCACCCAATGACAGACAGACTGCCTGAAAGTGCATGGGGAACACTTAAATCCCCAAGCTACTCCCTAGTCCTAGAGACCCAGCTTTGACACAAAAGCTTGTTTTCTAGATAAAAAAAGTAGTCTTCTTGAAAGGGGAAAATGGATTTTAAAGAAAACATCTAAGCTTAGAATACCCGGTTCTCAATGGCAATATTCAAAGCTATATGACTATATATCATTCCTTTGAAATGCTGAGAAAATAGTTTCCAACCTAGAATTCTTTACCCTTCCAAGTGATTGATAAGGATAGAAAAAAAAAATTTCCTATGTGCCAGTTCTTACCAATTTTTCATCCACTAAAACTTTTTCAAGAAAGTGCCAGGGATGTGTGCATTCAAAAAGGAAGGGAGTGACAGGCGCAGACATGGGATCTAGACTTCAGAATAGACGGGAGGCAAAGGATTGGTCTCAGGGTGATGCTAAAAATAATTCTGGGTAACAGCTTGCATCAAGCCTTGCAGAGATTTGAAGGAAAACAGGGATGGGGGGTGTTTCCAGAACAAAGCATCTGAAGAGATATGAACCTGTACCTCCAAAAGATATGCAGTATTGTAAACCAGTGTTACCTCAATAGAAGTAACAGAAATAATGATAAAACTACTGTAAAATGATGGAAAATCAAAATAGATATGATAAATTACCTAATATAATTGACCATATGAGAGGAGGTTTAGCTGTTACTTCAGATAACAGGGTATATACAACTGATAAATACATGCAAAAAATAAACAATGAAATAAGAATTTGCAAAATGATTTAAAATGGACCAAGCAAGAAAACAATCATAGTGATGTAATAACCATGAGCAACATTTACATAGTCATAATGCCAATAGGCCTACCCTTACATTTACATTTGTCCTATAAAGCATCCTAAAGTGTGACTCACATTGGAAAAGAGTAGATTAATGTCACCTTCTGCCTTGCAGGGTGGGGAGCACTGTTACTATCATGGGAGCATCCGAGGAGTCAAGGATTCCAGAGCCGCTCTGTCGACCTGCAATGGACTTCAGTACGTGGATTTCTCACTGGGACAATCAACTCGCCTCATTCATCCACCTTTTCCATCTTTCCTCTCTTAGATATTTATCTTCGTGATAAATAAGAGATCTTTTCTTAGTGATCTCTTCTGTGTTCACCCTCTGTGAGGGACAAGCTATGGACTGACGTATAAGGAGCGAATGTTCCCTGAGCTCTTGACACTTAGGTGTGCAGGAGATTCATAGATTAAACATATGATTACATTAAACATATGATTACCCAGGCCAATATTATTTTGTGATTTTGATAGATACTGTGAAGGAGAAGGAGGGGCTGATGGGATGACTGAATCTACTCTAAAGCATTTCCCAGGGCTGTCCCACAGCTCTTATCTGTCAGATTAGGCCTAAGGCTGAATCGGAGTCACTCAGGTCTGGGTGGGTGC